GACAGCTTGGAAAGGATTTCTTCTTACAAATTCCCCAGGGGCAGGAAAGAAATGCCCATTCAGCCTCTTTTGAGGTGACTTCCTCAGTGTGGACTCACAGGCAGAATATTCTCAAATAATTATCTGGTATCATCTTGTATCTGTTATAAACCAAACAAAGGGAAGACCGAAAAATGCTGGATTTCTCTCTCTTTTTTCCCCCTAGGTAAAGGGTTAAAAAGAGTAAAGACTGTAATATTGAGCCTACTTATTTGAGAATAAGCTTCACAAAAGTCCAGGATAACAGCTATTATTTATCAGTAATGGGCCAAATAAGAATAAATAAAATTTTAACCAAGTCCAATAGGAAAATCAACGTGGCTGCATGGTCTTTAACAACAAATCTTTGATGTAAAACTCTGGATGATCACTAAATGGCAGCACACATACAAAAACTCCCTAACTCTTTGCCACCATCTGGTGATTGTTCTCAGTTTGCAGTCCAGTTTTAATAAGCCCTAGTTAGTAACAATGCAGCTTTGTTTCTTCTTAGAAATAGATCAGTCATTTCATTCTGTGAAACCAAGTCATCTTGTGTTTATTTGGGTTTGGCATCCATGAACAACTAGCAGTCAGAAGATATGATAAAAGCTTCTTAATTTCACAACGCATGGACAGATTCGACCATCATTTTAACTGGGAAACTGAGCATCTTAGATCATGCCAAGTCCAAAAAAATACCAAAGAATTCCTAGAAGCCTGGCACTCAGACAGATCAGCCAACAACAGGCACATAAAGATAAATGATATCCAGATACCACTCAAAAGAGACACTCAAAAAACCAAAAAGGAAACAAAAAGACTAAAATGTCTTCCCACTAGCAATCAGCACCCATATGAGCAGAGATTAATAGTAAGATAAAACTAGACCAACAATCAAGAACTAAACAATGGTTGGTAGTTCCAGTCAAGGAACTACCAATGTAAACAAACTAACAGCAAACAACCTAATCAACCTAATCCCATCAACCTGACAAGGCAAGCCACTAGTATATAAAACAAGAACAAACACTACTCCTTTGTAGCACTGATGATGTTACCTACTTTGGTAATGAAACATCTGCAAGAAAACCACAAGCTGAGAGAGCACCAAAGACCCCACAGTTACCTCGGTTTGGAAGTGACTTTGAAAATTTAATTCCTGTTAAAGCAACTAAAAGCAATTGAATGTTTCACTGCTTGCAGCTCATGGGAACAAGCTGTCTTGTCACATTTGGAGAGGCTGGTGCATCACATTAATTGCTCCCTTTGGAGACCAGAAACCCATATCAATGCAAGGTCATCATTTGGCTGACTGACAGGGAAGTGTCAAGTTTATGTGGGCTAATCCCTTTTAGCCTTCTGCAGATGAGACGATGAATGTGCCATTTCAAAGATGTTGCCGAGTGCAAAAGCCATTTGCTTCCATGAAACTCCTGTTCAGAATTACTTGAACGATCCGCCCCACACATAAAAATAAAAATGCACTCTGAAAACGGGCCACAGGAAGAAAAGGCAGGCCTGTGCTATGCGCTTCCACAATTAGCTTTATTTTTTCAAACTTTCTTGGGAATTGTTAGGCATGCATGCCTATACACAGATAGTTCTTGACTTACAACCACAATTGAGCCCAAAATTTATGTTGCTAAATGAGGCATTTGTTAAGCAAGTTTTGCACCATTTTACGACCTTGCTTGCCACAGTTGTTAAGTGAATCATTGCAGTTGTTAAGTTATAATGATATTGTTTCCTGATTGCATATTTGTAACTTATGACTATCATTAAGTGTTGTTCCTTATGATTCTTGATGAACGTATCTTTTATTTTATATACATGAGAGCATATGCACCAAGACAAATTCCTTGTGTGTCCAATCACACTTGGCCAATTAAAAAAAATTCTATTCTATTCTATTAATAACATGGTTGTTGAGTGAATCTTGCTTCCCCATTGACTTTACATATTAGAAGATCATAAAAGGTCACCTGACTCTGGACACTGCAACCATCATAAATATGAGTCAGTTGTCAAGCATCTGAATTTTGATCACATGACCATGGGGATGCTGCAACAGTCATAAGTGTGAACAATGGTTGTAAGTCACTTTTTTTCAGCGCCTTTGTAACTTTGAACAGTTACTAAATGAACTGTTGTAAATCAAGAACTACCTGTGTATTCTCAGTTCTACCTAAAGTATAATTCCTGTTATTTTATCCCATTCATATAGAAACTAGTAAATGTTCGTAGTGTAAAATGCTGTTATATCCAGAGAACATGGATTTTTAGGTTGAACTTAACTCTCATTCTGTTCTATTAGCTTCTCTCAGAGATTATTTTCATGAAGAGAAGTCTATTTACTGTAGGATTCCTGAACACATTGGGATCAAGGATAATTAATCTGCTGATCAGACTTCCGGACTTTTCGTCGGGCCCTTAAAACTTACTTTTTTCAGTTAGCCGGCTGGCCTGATTCTATGTTGGTTTTAAAGTTTGATACTGATTTTAATTGAAATGTTTTAAATTATGGGCCAAATTTCATTTAATTATTTTTAAAATTATTTTAACTTTTGTGTACAAATGTTTTTATTTTGGCTGTTCACCGCACTGTATTATGATGAAAAGAAAATTCCACTGATCACATGTGCACAAATCTGGAAGCATAAATATGGAGGGGAGGAGCATGTCATTTATTTATTTAAAACATTTATATAGCCACACATCTTATCACAAACTGAGTAACTCCCAATAAAAAAAATTAAGATAAAAATAACATTAAAAGTCATAAAACTAAACACATAAAAACAAACAAACCTGGCACCGAAACAAGCTTTATGGCATTATTTGTGTAATTATATCATGGCTCTGTGATGCAATTGTGTTTTTGTCTCCATAGAGTCTCTGTTTGGGGAAAACTATATTAAAACAAAAAAATTATCTGGTGCTTTAATACTTTTATAGTTGCCTTGAATAAAGAGCCCTGGTAGCGCAGCAGACTAAAGCACTGTTATTAACATCAGCTGCCTGCAATTACTACAAGTTCAAATCTCACCAGGCTCAAGGTTGACTCAGCCTTCCATCCTTTCTATGGTAGGTAAAATGAGGAGCCAGATTGTGGGGGCAATAAACTGACTTTGTATAAATATACAAAAGTATGAAGACTATTGCTTAACACATTGTAAGCTGCCCTGGGTCTTCGGAGAAGGGCGGCATATAAATCAATTTTTTTTAAAAAAGTAACTTTACTTAAAACCACTTCCTCTTTTTATAGATGCTTATGAAGAATCCAACTGATTTATTTCAAAAAATTACAATTTATATTGATATTGTTTCCTGGTTGCTTATTTGTTCCCTATGACTATCATTAAGTGTTGTGCCTTATGATTCTTGATGAACATATCTTTTCTTTTATGTACACTGAGAGCATATGCACCAAGACAAATTCCTTGTGTATCCAATCAATAAAAATTCTATTCTATTCTGTTCTGTTCTGTTCTGTTCTAAAAATGTCATAGATTTAGTCTGTTTTTAAAACACACAAGAAATTATTTTATTTTAATTTTAGTAATTATTTTTCCCTATAATTTAATTTGGGAACCTTTCTATAGACAGCCAATTATTGTCTGATTGATGTATTTTTGATGGCTACCAGCACAATTATCCAGCACAATGTATTTTTTGTATCTTTAAAACTAATTCAAAAGCTACTGATCCTAGTTCACACATGGATTTGTTTGTTACAAATATTATATCTGTCTCCAATATATTTTGATGTTCATCTCCATAACAATCTTGTGATGTAGACTGGGAGTTCCAGTGACCAGAGAGAGTATTGTAAACCTGGTTCCCTCCAATAGCAGGCAGGCATTGATCTAACATCTTTGGCTTTGAAGCTAAAAGCATGCGTGTTGCATCATTTTATCTCTGCTGCATTTAACTCTTCAATTGTGGTTTCAAGGTCTATCGATCATATTTAGTGAGATGCTGTAATTTATATAAATTTCATATGTAGGATTTTAATTAAAGTCCTGATGGCCTTTCAGATAAAAAAAATGACAAAGCAAGCCTGGAATTCCCATTCAATAGCTATTTCATTGATTGATTGATTGATTGATTTGTAAAGCATATATAAGATAACAGGCAAAAGTATAAACATAATTTGAATACATGAAAAGTGTAAGAGTGAAAAGGAATATTAGGACAGGGACGGTAGCACGCTGGTGCACTTACGCATGCCCCTTACACACCTCTTAGGAATGGGATGAGGTCAACAGTAGACAGTCTAAGGTTAAAGTTTTGGGGGTTTGGGGAAGAAACCACAGAGTCAGGTAGTGCATTCCAGGCATTGACCGCTCTGTTGCTGAAGTCATATTTTCTGCAATCGAGTTTGGAGCGGTTTACCTTGAGTTTGTATCTATTATTTGCTCGTGTATTGTTGTGGTTGAAGCTAAAGTAGTCATTGACAGGTAGGACATTGTGGCAGATAATTTTATGTACTACGCTTAGATCAGAATTGAAATGTTTCTCCCATTTTTATCCATCTTTGGTTCGGCACTTTTGAATGGAGGTCAAAGGCACAAAATCCCATCGGGGTCCAAAGTGATTTATTGCCTGAGTTTGCAAATCAGGCTTATGTTTGCTAACACAGAGTCGGCTAATTTGAAGCTGAATAAGTAGCCCATGCGATTAGTTCAAGTTTTCATAAGTGAAAACTTATGCCGGATTCAGTCAATAACCCTCTGTTGCTAACAGGTTAATAGTCTGCCAATAGAAAGACCCTGCACTGCCACCGTGAACAGAAACAAATTGCTTACTGCTGGACCAGATTCTCATGGCAGTTCTTGCAGTTAGAAATAAGGAAACTGTAGCAGGAGAAAAAGACTGGCAGGGGAACATCTGGAGAAATGCAGCTGATCTGTAGAGGAGGCGGGGTTGGAAGTGGGAGCAGGTGGAAGTTGTTTACAGTATTTGCTCTGCTGTTAAAGGTGGCCCAACAGACTGAAAAAAACCAGCTGGCTGCAGGAGGAAGGAGATCCAGAGGCTTTCTCAGGCAGTATTTTTCAGGTTTGTAACCATAGTACAACCAGGCAACTGGAGAACACAGTCTTCACTTGGGGAATAATCCTGAAAAAACCCAGGGTGTGTTTGGGGAGGGGAGGGGGCTTTTGCCTCTGGTAGGGCTTACCAAGTATCTGAGGTGTCTTTTGCAAGATCCAGTACATAAATATATTCTTGGGCAACAAGCTTTGTCGGAGGAGGCAAAGATCCAACGCTTAACGTTCACACATGCTTTGTTAATTGTAATCCCGATTAGGATTGGTAGGGTTTTTTGTGGAGTTTTAGTTTTGTTTTTTGTTTTTTTGGTTTAAGATGTTATGATGAGTCAGCTGTTCATCTTATTTATAATTTGGGGGGATTGTGAGAGACTAAGATCAATAGGCAGTTAATTTATAACCTTGCGTGATGAATACGGTGTGCCCAGAGGTGGGATTCAAATAATTTAACAATCGGTTTATTATTTATTATTATTTATTAGTTCAATTTATATGCCGTCCTTCTCCGAAGACTCAGGGCGGCTTAAAATGCACTTATAGCAATAGCCTTCATTCTTTTGTATATACCTGCTTATTAAGGCTTTTGGCCCCCCACAAGCGGTGTTTTTACAAAGTCAGCTTATTGCCCCCACAATCCGGGTCCTCAATTTACCTACCTTGGAAGGATGGAAGGCTGAGTCAACCCTGAACCTGGTGAGATTTGAACTCACACTAATTGCAGGCAGCTGGCAGCTAAGTGCTACATAACAGCACTTAGTCCGCTGCACCACCAAGGTTCTCTGCCCTAATTATTTCTTCCAATAACCAGTTCACCAAATTGCTCAGAAAGTTAACAACCGGTTCTCCCGAAGTGGTGCGAACAGGCTAAATCCCACCACTGGGTGTGCCCGTATTTTACATGGGGTTAAAATGCACAGGCATGCCCCAGGAGAAGCTTGGATAATTGTTTGCAGGTGGAACATAAATCCCTGCTTATGCAAAGAGGCAGATCGCACCATTTTATGGATAGCAATGATCTTCCAAGCTTGAGATTCTCTAAATCAAATTTTGTTATCAGTCCATTTAAGTAACTTGGTCACAGTGGTAGGTTTCAAATTTTTTTACTACCGGTTCTGTGGGTGTGGCTGGGGAAGGATACTGTAAAATCTCCATTCCCTCCCCACTCCAGGGGAAGGATACTGTAAAATTTCCATTCCCTCCCCACTCCAGGGGAAGGTTACTGCAAAATCCCCATTTCTTCCCGATCAGCTGGGACTCGGGAGGCAGAGAATAGATGGGGGCGGGGCCAGTCAGACTTTTTACTACCGGTTCTCCGAACTACTAAAAATGTCCGCTACTGGTTCTCCAGAACTGGTCAGAACTTGCTGAAACCCACCTCTGATGCAAACCCCATGCAGTGAAGACCAAGGTACCATTTTTGTATCTAAACGAGATGATCATAAAGCAATGTGGGTGATATTTTTAAACTTAGGCCACCAATACCTGTCTCCTTTTAATTTTAATTTAAGTGTTTGATTTACATTTGTAAGGGGCCAGTCTATGATCAAAAATTATCTCGGGTAACCATAAGATTTTGGAAGAACCTTGAGTGTACTCACATAATTCACTGAACTACTAGCAAATAGCCACATATTAGCCTTGCATATTGTGTGAACCCAGCCTGTGTAGTCAATTTGTTGTGCAACATACTAACTTGGAAAGTTGGCTAAGCTGAGCAAGATATGGTTAACCATGGATGCATTGTGTGAATATTGACACTGGTTGATACTGGGAAAAACTTGTTTTTTCTTCCACTTTGTGTCTCCAATCTGATCCTCCCTCTCTTATCCCCATGTCTACTTTTAATTTGAAAAATGTTGGTCACATCCTGCTTATCAAACTTCTATAGCCAGTTAACATAGTATATAAAGCAGGATTACTATGTAGATTTGACAAATTTATTCAAAAGGCTGTTAGATTATTCTTCCCAGTACTGTTTCAATTGCAGATATTTGTACTGTGGTTTGTTTTTCTTTTTAGGCAAACAGAACATTCACCTATGCCAGGGGTCTGCAGCCTTAAATACTCAAAAGAGCCATTTGGACCCGTTTCCCACAGAAAAGGAAACACAGGGAGCCACAAAACCTGGATGGGTGTGGCCAACTCGACGTCACTCACTTCCAAAAAGTCACATGACCCTCTAGCCACACCTACCCAGCCAGTCATTAGGGCAGAGGACTGGTTGTTAAAAAACACCAGGAAACACAAAACCCTTTTGACAGATTTCTCTTTCTCTCTCCCTCCTACCCCCCCCCCCCTGTCTCTCTATCTCTCTTACCCTCTCTGTATCTCTCTGTCTCTGCCCGCCTCTTTTCCATTCCCTGCCATCGCCCTTACCTTCTCAGCCCAGGTGAGGAGTGACTGGGAGGGGAGGGGCAGGGGCAGGGGCAGGGGCAGGGCCAGCCAGTGATGGGATCACCCGACAGGGAGCCACAGCAGAGGGCCCAAAGAACCACATGTGGCTCCAGAGCCGCAGGTTGCTGACACCTGACCTATGCCCAAATTCATGAATGGCAACAGGCAAGAGATTTTAACAACGCTCAAGAATATGTTGTGAAATACAAATAGATTTCCTTGTTCACCATGCATAATCCTACCCAGCAGTATAGTTTAGTGAAAGGCCAAGGGCAGATTGCTATAACCTTTTTAAGAGATTCAGGATGGATTAGTAAACTTTTGTTTATTTACATAGAGGATGTTGGTTTGCTTTAGAACTTACTGTAAAAAGATAGGTCGCCAAGAATGACCTATCTGATATGATTCTAATTAAAATTACCATTTTTTTTTCACTTCCTAAATGGCGCTTTTACATTTTTGGTTTCTGCTTTCGGGGGTTTGTTTAATTTTTTTTGTAGGGATTCATATTTTCATACTTAGCTCACTACCCTAAACTGGTAATCGGAGGAGCAGATTTAACTCAAAGAGAGTAACTTTAAATTCATGAAATTAGCATGACCAGCTTATGGTTATGACCATGAGACTGATATAGAGGTAAATATAAGATGGGGATAAGAGATTGAATTTGATTTGCCAGACTTGCCCATTCAGTTTCAAAAAGGCAGATTATAGTTTTCTAGAGTCTCATTTATCTGATGGCCTTGTGAAGTTATCTCACTGGGAACTGCATTGAATGACTGCCTAAAGAGTTTGGTTAGCATTTGCCTTTTTTTTCCCTGATCTGCAGTCTAACTTGTCCTGATCTGAAAAATGTTTTCATGTCCTGGTGAAAGCACTGGAGAAATTGCTAAGAAAATAATCAAGGAAAATGATCTGGTGGGTGAAAATAGTTCCCATTTGAAGGCTGGCTTAAACTACAAAGTTAGTTTATAATTGTGTCTTCAGCACTCAAGAAAACCATGGTTTGTTGTAGATTCTTACGAAGCCCCAAGTTTTATCAGGAAAATGGAAAGAATAATCATTCCATTAATACAGGTCTCCAAATTGATGCTATCCAGATATATTGCAACTCCCATAATTCCCAGACAATAGGGGCATTTTGGCTGTGGGCGATTGGAGTTGTATTACTACATATCTTGGAGGCACCTGGTTAGGAAACATTACTCCATTGAAGTGTTTCTCAACTTAGGGAAGTTGAAGATGTGTGGACTTCAGCTTCAAAAATTCCTCAGCCAAATGTGTGGACTTTACCTCTCAGAATTCCCCAGTCAGCCCTGGGAATTCTAGGAGTTGAAGTCCACATATATTTTCAAGTTCCCAAGGTTGAGAAACCATGCTTTAGTGTGCACAGGTAGCCCTTGACGTACAACAGTTCATTTAGTGACCATTCAAAGTTACAACAGCAATGAAAAAGAGTAACTTACAGGGTGGATAAAAATCAATGATTTTTTTTAAAAAAATCAAAAAAATCAGATTTTTTTGATTTAAATCGGATTTTTTTTATTTAAATCGGATTTTTTTGATTTTTATCAAATTTATTTTAATAAAAAAAACTTTTGGGGTAAAAATCTATCGTAAGATAGTTTTCTATTTAAGATACATAAATAATTTAGTTTATTCAGCATGAAATGGAGCTTAGTTATGTAGCAGGAGGCTGTATATTCTGCAACACTGGGACTATCGGTGAGTCAACAATGGGTCAAAGGAGTAGCGGAGATGACAGTTGCTCTTTAAAAATTATGATTTAAATCGAGTTGATTTAAATCAAGCCTTTTTACTAGTGATTTAAATCATGATTTAAATTGTGATTTAAATTAAATCCACCCTGGTAACTTATGACCCTATTTCACAGTTACGACCTTTGCAACTTCCCCATCATCATCTGATCAAATTTCAGATGCTTGGCAACTGGTTCATACTTACGACTCTTGCTGTGTTCCAAGGTCATGTGATCACCTTTTGTGACCTTCTGACAAGCAAAGTCAATAGGGGGAGCCAGATTCACTTTAACAATCAGATTAGTAACTTGTCAACTGTAGTGGTAAGGAAGGTCATAAAATGGGGCAAAACTCACTTAACAAATGTCTCACTTAACAACAAACATTGGGCTCAATGGTGGTCATAAATCAAGGACTACCTGTATACGCTCGGTTTATAGGTTTAGTGAGGTATGTCGGCATGTAATTTGTATCCATATTCTTTTACCCCAAATGCTCACAAATTACTACTGGCAAGAGAAAAAAATTCTCCTGTTTCTCTTTCCACTGAGTATCCATTTCCTTTCATGTGCTACTGGTGGCCAGTGGTGGGCAGGTAAGATATAAGTCCCACAATGCAGAGAGCAGCAGAGAATGGGGATTGCAAAGTGATTGTTGGCTTTGAAATGCAAAGTGGTTGGGTAGAGGGGCTTGGAGGGGGGGGAAACTGTTCACTCTGCCTTCTCCAAGCCTGGCTGCTTTAGGGTAAACCCCTCATCTGAAAGAGGCTTTTGTGCCCAGTCCCCTGGCCTTCTTGTGTTGCATGCCAGCAGGTAGCAATTGTTAAGATCAACAGAGCAGAGTCAGAGTGGAAGGA